AGAGAGAGAGAGAGAGAGAGAGAGAGAGAGAGAGAGAGAGAGAGAGAGAGAGACATGAAAGAAAAATGAGACGTCATCAGTGAGTGTTGTTGTGCGCACTTGTTAAAAATAAAAAGTTCATGGTTTTTGAAGGAAAAAAAAACAAAGGTGAAAGGTGAATTTGAGAAAAGAATATATAAGTACGATGTTCTTCAAAGACTTTCTCTTTCTTAATTACGTAAAGGGCAAAAGTTGTAATAATTCAAGGGGATTCACCTACCGAGGTTACCGACCCTTTCAGAGGTAGTACGAAAAGAGTTTCAAGCAACATGGGAAAACCGTGGTTTCGAGGACTTTTCTCGAAGAACCGCAATGGGGCATAACCCTAAGCATAGGGCATACTTATACTAGGACTTCTCTTAATATATCTCACGACAATCAGTTCCACACCGTGGTATAATTTTTTATTTTTTTAATAGGGGTAACTTAGGCCCAGTCACGAAAACAGTTTGTAATTGCACTTCAGGCAATCCCGCGAATACAACACACCCCTACGCGACCCCACCGGACCCGAAACGTAGGTCACATACATTCAGCATTACCGGCCCTTTTGCCTCAAGTGCAATTATAAACTCAATCCCTGACTGCGCCGTAGTTTTCTCTTTTTAATATTTTCCTTGGGTTGTTGTAGAGGTTGGATTCTAGACATATGACAGTCGTCTTTCAGCAGTCAGCCATTCGGTTTCCGTTTTTTTGTCCACCTCGTAAGGTCACCTTCCCTACCTGACGATTATTTTCTTCAATGCACCCTCTAAAAGTTATAGTGTATTAAAAGAAAAAAATAGTAAATTAATAATAACATCGTTCAGGGCTAGCGCCTTTGCAATCCTTGTGGTAAGAGCCCAAGAAAGTAGAGCTCGACAAGGTCCGGCGGCTCCATCTATCGTGGGGAGTGTCAAGTGTTGGAAATCGGGTCCAACATCCCTTTAAAAAAAATGTATAGAAAGTCTACAAGGCGTCAAACCGGCCAGGGATATGACCTCTTGAACCTTTTTGGGCCGCCAAAAGGGACATGAATATTTGACCCTCAATTGTGATCCTATGATCCAAATAACCTTGGGATTTTAATTGTCTTTAAAAAGTTAAACTATGTACGAAATCCATGAGCAGATATCATCTCTCTCCTACTTGTAGGTGTCAAATGATTCCTCTTATATGCATGGGAAGTGAAACCCTCTCTCTCTCTCTCTCTCTCTCTCTCTCTCTCTCTCTCTCTCTCTCTCTCTCTCTCTCTCTCTCTCTCTCTCTCAATGATCTCTCTCTCTCTCAATGATCTCTCTGCACCAAGGAATGATCCAATCTTGTCTCCTCCATTGCCAGTTTCGAGCCACCCGATCCTGCCGCACAACTTTATTTTGAGTCACCTGATCTTACCACATGGTCTTGTCTCTATCCGCATAATCATAAATTTCACTTTTACCGCTCTCACTAGTGATTGTTTCGCCCTCTGGACTGTAAAGACTGTCCTCTCTAATATTCAAATCGACATCATTCTTTTGATAAGTGCAACCTTCATCACCAAGTTTTTCAATTTCACCATTACCGCTTTCATCCCCAGAAATATATCAATCTTCAAGATCCTCTTGTTGAGTTTTGTGATAATTTTCCCCACAATATTCGGCTTTTTCACGTTCTCCACCTGACTTATTTTTTGCTCAAATTTTTCAATGCCCCCAGGTTCTACGCCTTTCTCTCTCAATATCATACCATCACAATTTGGAGGTCAATTATTCGGATGACACTGACCCATCGTAGTTCATATCCACAGTTTCAGAATCACACTTTTAACTTCATAGGAAACTTGCCGCCAATGAAATATCCTTGATCTGCTTGAGCTCCTTGCTAGGGCATCTATGTAGAGAATAGCGTATAGCCAGAAGGCAACAAAACCCTTGCACACGCACCGTGGATCAACCAACTTATCTCATGTGCGAACACTAGCTCTTTATGAAATGCTCCAAACGATGTGCAAAAAATAATATATAACCTAAAGTGGCGAGAATGTGATTGCAGGAGGTTATCTCGCTTTTCTTGAAGGATTCGAACTGTCGTTTGAAGCTTGAGCCTTTGCGACAAGTAATCGTCGCCT